ACACAAAACCCTTTTTTTTTTTTTTTTTTTTTGTACATTTTCACTTTGCTTCAGTTCTGACCTTAAAATTTCCAATATAGCTTCCTCTTTAATCCTACCTACTTTTCATCTGCTGCTTGTGTTTCACTTGTTTTAATATATATCTATATTTTCTTTTCTGGCTTTTTTCTCTTTTCTTACTTTACAAAATGAGAGACAGAATGATGGACAGCTGACAATATATATAATTATTTTCCTCTTCTTATTATCATCAGGTTGCTCTTAACCTGGAGATGATTTTCTTTGTTCATTGTAAACAAACAGGTTTATCAGCCACTGGCGTTTGTTTCCTCCTCTTCTTCTTTTTCCTCCTCCTTCAAGTGCACTCCTTTCCTCCTTCTCTCCACGGCTCTTCTCATTTTTATTTCATTGCAGGAGGGCCCTGATTTGTTTGGAGGTGCTGTCATCATTTAGATGTCGTGTTGTATACCTGAAAAGGAAGGTGACGAAGAGGGATGCATTGAAATCAGAAAGCTTTTTTTAAATTGTTTTATTTTTGAACAAAATCCTTGTGCGTCACATCTCTATCTCTTTGTCTATCGCTGATCCACACACACTCATACACACCTCAGTGCGTTCAGAAGTCCCTCCACACTGTTGGACGGTTGCTCTTTCAGCACCTTGATGCAGCCCTTCATCTGCCCCGCACAAAGACAACACAGGGTGTTAGAGAAAGGTCAGCAGGCTCAGATCCACCTCATCTCTTGCTGCGGCTGCCGCCAAACACCGACTCAAAAAAAAAAAGTGACCCACCTCATCTACCAATGTAATGTTGAACATGAATCATACATAAGCAGACACGTATCATGTTTTTGACTTGTGACTGTTTAAAATGTAGCAATATCTAATTGTGACTCCTCATCACAGGTTGTGGCTTTTGTGTGGACACGAGTTGTGAGCAATGCTGAAATCGAAGAGTGATTTTTTTATGATCCTTATATTGTTTGATTGAAAAGATTTTTACAGCTTGAAAATGTGAACGTTTTCAGTGTTTCGCATACATAGCAAAAATTTGAGAAAACAGAAAAAAACTTCTTCTTTTTTTCTCTTTTGAGATCTTAATCCAGTGGGTTGGAACAATGTATGAATGACAGTGTATTTAATATATCAAACAGCATTTAAACATACTGTAAATCCTCTCCACAGAAGCCCAGACTAAGAAAATGATAATGGGTTAGCAGCTTCCAAAGGCAGAACGAGGCAGCTTCTACTGACTGTAAAGTAGAATCATCTCTTGCCACACTGTGATGATGTACTCATCAGAAAGAAATCAAATGCTGGTAAAAGCACATCATGCATTGCATTAAGGTTGGATGGCATGACTGGCAAATATCCAGTTCTTTAATGAAAGCCAACTTTACAGGAGCTATTTGTAAGTTTTGCTATTGCTACATAGCCAACGTTAGCATTAACAGCTGTTTACTTAGGGGTGTTGCCGTGAGCTTTAGGCATTGTTGCGTTTACAAGACAAGGTTTTAATATGCCCTCTGAGTATCACTACTTTTTACAGGGTAGATTGGAAGCTACAGTGACTTGGTATCGGAAAGTGACAAAAGGGGCTAGCTGGTTAGCATGCTAACTTCAGTATAAGAAATTAAGTGATAGATATAGAAGCAAAACAAGTGCGAGAGTTGGTACAGTTCTGGACAAGAAGCAGGAGATGCGTGCATGTGTTTTGAACAGTTTGTGTGCACTCACATCAATTTTGGAGGTCTTGGCAAAAGCTCCGACGGGGTGAACATGATCATAGAGAATAATGACGCCCACCATCACCCTCATACAGAACAGCATGGTGTCTGTGTTGGTGAACCGACAGCGGTACTCCCTGGAACAGACACAAGTGTGGAGGAAAAATTAGAAACCCAAAGAAACAAAAAGCGTCTTACATCACGACCAGAGAACAAGCTGGGACAAAATTGCTACTTTTATTTGAAGCACTTTGTGATTGACAAGTTACTGATGACTTTTTATTCACATACAGAAATCTAGTTAAAGGGATTTTAAACTTAGCATGAAGGATGTGGTCCATCTCTTTATTCACTGAATTAATGAATCAGTCTATTGAATTAATGCCTCAAACTGGAGAAGACCTCTTTTGTGTTCGCTTTGAAAGGGCTTGTTAATTAAAACTTAGTCTTTTCTGTCCTTTTTGAAGGGGAAGACGAGGAGAAAAGGACATGGAAGAGAGAAGGGATGAAGGGTAGAAGGGAACATGTGGAAAGTACTCACGGAGTCTCCAGCATGACACGACACACACAGGCCATGGTGCTCAGACAGTCTGTGGTGTCCTCTATGGGCAAAGTCTTATTCTGAAGGACAGAAAGAAGAAATATCAGTAATGTTTGGTCACTGAGAACGTCCATCTTTTCCCCTAAATAACTAATCACGAACCACGTTCCTCTGTTGCTGTGTGCTGATCGGGCAAAATGTTCTACCACAAGGTGGAGACAGAGCACGTGTGCTCAGTGCAGTAAAAGTATGAGGACAGGAGAGCAGCTTTTCTAAAAGGCAATCATGGCCGTCATGTCCTCTAAATGTTGCATGAGTCTCAAAAGTATTTCTCAAATGTCTGTTCCATCAAAACGCACCGAGGTGTAAAGTCAGAGAAAGACTGCTGCCTCGACACTAAAATACTGTTATGACAGCAAGGGAGAGGAGAGGAGGGGAGTTTTCACGCAGCAGTCCGGCACAGGCGCTTGAAGTGAGGACTCAAGTGCACCAAGGAATAAACGGACTAAACACTATAATGAATCATATATCAATGCCGCTGAGAAATCATAATGTAGCTTAACTGTTTGCTCTTGTCTGCTTATAGGCTACTCTCCTGCCATTGAACACAGGATGTCAAGTCGCAGACCAGGACTGTGCAAAGACTAAACAAGGCTGCAGGTGAGGTGATCAACAGAGGCATATTATTATTTATCATTATCATTATTTACCAAGCCCTGATTAATGTTTGATTTCACTAAATATAGTTTCAGATTTCAGAGATGTGAAGCAGGAACTCCACATCAAATCTGTGAATTGTAAAATGATTAATTACTGAACTCTGTATTGATAAGTGCTAAATGATTGGCTTTAGGAAGTGGTCAAATGTAACAAAGCACATTTAATCAAGTGCTGTACTTTACATGAGTATTTCCATTTTACGCTACTATACACTTCTACCTCACTACAGCTCAGAGGGAGATATTGTACCTTTTACTCAGCTACATTTATTTGGCAGCTCTACAGTTACCAGTTACTTTACATATAAGAGTTTTGCATCTTATTTTAATTTACTTTTTTAGATTTTACAGCTCATAAAGGAAGATGCACTGTAAAAGATTAAATGCCCCATCAGTCTTTTTCAGATTGGCTCCACCTTAACCAGCCACAACAGTAAATTCCTACACGCACATGAATGCATCAGTAATAATAATCTAACAATATAATAGAGAATTGTTTGACACTAACAGCTGCCTTTTTCTGCTTTTGCACATTTTGTTGATAATACCTTTAGTGACATTACACTTTCTGTGGAAGACTTGTACTTCCTGTTACTTATAAGAACATAATCCAAGTTCCTCCGCCACCACTGACCTAAGATCTCCAAGCCATCATCCACTCCCTTAATTTATCTTTGGGATGCCCTCTAAATCACTTTCATGTGACTTTTGCTTCATGTCTACTTTCTGTGACAATCATTGACACAGTAAACTTACGCAGGCATCAATCTGACACCGGAAACATGGGAACTCTGTACCTCTGAAACAAACTTGGTGGTGGCGTTGCTCAGAGTCTTCAGCATCGGTGTTGCCTCGGCGTAGAACAGGGACATCCGATTGGCCATCTCGTTGTTAACCTCGTTCTCCGCTTCCAGCTGTGTGACAACACAAAACAGATATCACGCGTTCAAAAAAAATAGTCATGTCATCCAGCTTGTAAAATGGCGGAGCTAATTTGTGTAACTTGGATGGCAAATGAAATATTGATTGTACACCTCCACTTCAGTCATGAATGATTAAAGAGAGAAAGTGAAGCCATGCTGCTTGGGCTGAACAGTTCGTCATGTAAGCAACAGGAAGCCAGGCATTTTCTCCATGGACTCACCTGCTGGTTGTTCAGCCTGTTCCTGCTTATAGTCCTCCTGTAGTAGCTGAAGTCATTCTGAATGGCTGGGTTTGTCATCTGCATGGACAGAGAAGAGGTGATTAGTGTTTTCATGAGGCTATTCAATACATACATTGATTTTCCTGTACAGTAAAGGTCAGTCTGTGAGGGCTGTATAATTAGAACAAGAATCGTTCCCTTCACCTTTAGTTCATCAAAGCTGAGCGTAAAATGAAGGATCTCAGCGAACTGTTTGGCCAGAGCCTGCTCCCTCTCCAGATGCTGCATGGGAGCGTACGGCGGGCTCGTCAGCGCCTCCAGCAGGCTGCGCAGGGCATTCTCTGCAAACATACACACATTTTACACATTCGAAATTCATGTACACAAGCTGGAATCTGCATTCAATACTGTTACTATACAGGCTTTTATCTGTCATGTTCAGGCTGCTGTAATTCTCTCTAATCTGGCCTGGATCAGAAGTCTCTTTCATGTCAGCAGCTTGAAAAACAAAATGAAGAAGCAGCAGCAGCAGCAGCAGGATTTTAACTGGTACAAACAGATTACAATCACTTCAGTTCTGTCACCTCCTCACTGGATATCACTGGATACCTGTTGGGCTTTTTAGACATGGACCCAGCACTTTGGGTTGTGCCCTCAGGCAGAATGATAGACCTTTGGATCCTCGATGAAAACAGGACTCAGGTTCTCAGACCCTTCTGGCTGAGATTTAACATTTAAGGTGAGCAGAAATTTAACATTAGAGCTTTGGAACAACATGTCTGTGAAGGTGAGGTTGGCATGGCTCTAGTGATGTTGGTCCGCCAACTACTTTTGTCCAGACTGAAATACCTCAACAACAATTGAACAGGTTGCCATAAAATTAGGTACAGACATTCATGTTCCCCTCAGGATTAATCATAACGACTATGGTGATCCCTTAAAAGAGTTTTCCACTGGTTTAGCACTGCGCTCTCATAAAACTGTTCATGATGGACAGTTTACAAAAAGGATCAAAATCGATGCAGCAGAACCAAAGATGTCAGCTTTTCGAATTCCATGCATTCTTCTTCCTTGTTGAAACCTGGTGCCTACACTATCCACAATGCAACCTGACCGCTGACAGTTCGGTTGGAGATTCGATTGTGTTATGCTAGTGTAGCCCCAAGCAGAGATGAGGAGTGAGCTACAGAGGTCCGATACACTGACTTCTTTCTAACTCCACACCCCCAGATTCTTTCAGACTTGAAGTCCCTGGTGCTAACCAACTTTTCACAGCTTCCCCTGGAGCCACAGAAGCCTTTAAACAGACTTTGATGTGTTTCCCTTTAGTTATTTATTTTCTTTATCAGGTCAAAATTTAAATTTTTTTTACGGTTCATGACCAAAATACCTGCAAAATTAATGACATTCTCATCAGCCTCAGCAGTACTTTGTGTTTAGTGCTAATTGGCGAGCATTAGCATGTTAACACACGAAACTAGCATGGTTAACATGGGAAACATTGTACCTGATAAAAATGCTTATATTGTCATTGTACAGTAAACATGTTAGCAAGCTTAATGCTAGCATTTAGGTCAAAGCAGTGCTGTACCCAAGTGCAGCTTGACAGAGCTGCTCACATGGCTGCAGACTCTTCAGTCTTATTTCAAAACTGTGCATTTTACATATTGCAAAAACTAGAAATGCAATGTACTACATCAAATGACTCATTCATATGGGCATTTTCACAGTGCAAATTCACTGGTTTCATTTACCAACATCTTTCACAGGCTCTTTCTTTCTTTTCCTCTTTATTATTTTCACCATCTCACACATTACTAAGTACAGTACACGTACAGTTTCATGGAGCTGCTAGCATGGCTGTGAACTCTTAGTCTTGCTATGACTGGGCTGGGCCTGGAGTGTTAGTTTGACCCTTTCTCAGGTTCTGCAGTTCAACAGCACTCTATTTGCCGTCTATGACCTCAGGCGTTACACAACAAATTTTACTGTACAAGACGAACTAAATGAACATACACAGTTAGTGGTATTCCACAGAGATCATATCGTGGCTGATAATACAGCCTGAGCATCCTTGTGGCCACCGCATCAGTAAACATAAGTTATCCCTTGTGTCACGTATGCCACTGAACCAAAGCCTTTTCCCGGCTGCGCTGCCTCTAACAAATCAGACACCAGATCTGGACCTCAGACGCTGTATGTAGTAGTAATGCCTCAGAAGCAAAGTCTCCAGTGGCCCCATCCCTTCTTCTGCATTAAAAATGCATCAGGGCCTTCTATAAATACAGTGCTGAAGTGTTTCATCTAAAGGGCCTGGGCAGAAACCCCACTCTCCCCCCTGCTGTTCGCACAGAGAGCACAGTCTCTATACCGAGCCTCTGGTTCCTGAAGGTATATACTGACAGTGTGGATGAAGAGACACTGCAGCTGTTTGTGTACTGTACATGGGACCTCTCGACCTCTTTGATTAAATACATAAATCAAAAAAAGGTGGTGCTAGAGGCAAAAAACAGGAGGGAGGTTCTCGTCTCTAGTCTCCTATTTATTAAGATTTGATCCCTTTCTCTAGGGAGTAGGGAGGTAAGGAGACGTCTACAGGATATCTGTTGTACTGTATCTCACAGATACATTAGCGCTGATACATTATCATCAATTATTAGTCAGCCTTTGTTGTATGGTAAGCTGAGAACACGATGTCCATGAGATCGAAGTATTATTGGAAGGCAGAGCAGAGGCGGCAGCCAAACACTATTCCTCTGCACATACTTCTCTCTCTCTCTCCTCTCTGTCCGTCTCTCTCTCTCTCTGTGCTGGATAACCATGTACCACTGTTTCCGTAGCAACGGCTGCCTGGCTGCTGGGTCAGGATGCTGCAGAGATGGCTGAGAGGACATCATGGTGTATGTGTGAGTGAATGTGAGCATGTGTTAAGGAATGCTGCCCTATTTGAAATTGCATGTAAAATCCTCTCTCCGCTGATTGCAATGACTTGAATTACCTTAAAATGAACCTCTCTCTTATTTAAGGTTCAGTGACACATATACAATGTCTCCACTTAGCTGTGATTAAAATATCTTTCTTTTACTTGTATTTGTCAGAGTCACAATGTGTTAACAGTCCCGTCTGTCACATTCGGTACATGTCACACGTCTGGCGTCGTGCAGCTGTTGAATAGCTGTTAAAAAGACAAAACAATAGCTAGTGTTGGCATGCAGTAGTAATCTGTGAGACCAGTGTTGAGCATGTCAGCAATCCTTTACAACATATAAAACCCCTAAACGCTCTTTCATAAATAATTCTATTGCAAACCATGGCAAACCAAAGAAAGATGTTGCAGTTTTGTCAGAATAGAGGAAAATTTCATTACAGCCTCATCAACGAGGCTGACTGTGAATAATGCTCCTCTTTCTGTGTATGAATCCTCGCCTCATCTCCTACTGCTGTTGCATCTCTTGTAATCGTCCTTCCTTGTACTGACTCTGCACCCATACAGCACTTTCAACTTAAATGAAATAATGCACCTTTTAGCAGCCATAAGCGAAGGCCTTGCTTCTTTGTTAACCGACCGGCTAACAGCAAATGGTCCTTCTAAATTTAGGTCCAGGCTATAGCTGCTTGCAGCTATAATTTCAGCTCTGATGGGACTGTCAATATGCCCACCAGAGAGACTGTTACATCAGCTGAATTTGCCATATAGGCTGTATATAGTAATGGCCATGCTCACCCAGTCGGAGGGAGAACTCATAGAACCTCTTCAGCTTGGCCACCAGGGGGCAGACTGCGTTCCAGGCCTTCTCCTGAAGAGCGAGGTCACCTGGGTTCTGGATGGCCTGCGGGCCGGGAGCGGAGGCAGAAACACAGATGTTACTTTCCAAAAATGATATAAAAACCTTAACATATCTTTGATCCGCTTTTCCCTTAAAGCAATTTTTCACTTTAGTAAAAAAAACATTTTCACTTCATTCAAATTTGATAGTACTTCCATGTAAAAGTGATTTCAGTTCAGCAAACTTGAAGTTTCATAGAGTCTTATTAAATGTCATTCAGCAGCAAAACCTGGTTTAGCTCCTTAAACTACATCTCTGATACTGAACACTCACTTAATGACATTGAACGGTATTTATAAAAAAATATTAGTCATGATTTAGTAAACTATCCTATTGGCACACATTAATATTATGATTCCTTAAAGGGGAAAGCTGGTGTTATTCTGTTATTAATATGGTTTCAGTTCCTCTCGCAATAATTTCCAAACCTCTTTTTCTGTGAAACGCAGCCCATTTCTTCCTACTGATTATATATATTTAAAAGAATGTGTCAAAAATATATTGTTCCATTTTTAAAAAATGCAAAGTAATTTCCTCAAACAGCTGAGGTTGTAGTTTTCACCAAAAGTGAACCAAATGGGAGTAAACTGGGACTATTTTCAGCTGTGGATTAATACACACGTGCTTTTGAATATTAATAGCAGCGGGATAGTGAAGATCTATATGGAGCCAAAAACTACAGTGCCCATGTTCATGGTAACTGTCACCCAGTGCGACAGTGTGGGCCACTGATGTGTTTTATGGACAACGATGGCGTTCAGTGGCAGAACGGAAGAAGAAGATACACCCAGCTTTGGCAACACAGCCAAAACATATTCATAATATTAAAATCCTTGTTTGACAATAGACAAATAATCTTGATTTACTCATTAGTACTTATCTGATAATAACATCTTTTATATATATATATATATATATATAAGTGGGCTCAAGTATGCTAATGCCATATTCAGAATTTTTCTCCCTAATTAAACATATAATATCCGTTTATATGAGTAGTGTCCTCGCAGCCCTCAGGCAGATAAGGTTTAACATTGACTTTAGAAATCTTCTGCAGGTACACATGTTAAAAGAAAGAACAATCCACCCTCGTGAAATATAGTTAAGAGGATGAGGCTGCTCTTAAGAAATGCTTCCAAGTCCTCAAGGTTAGGAAGCAAGCAGAGGAAACGATTCAGCACTATTTGTTAACAAGCAGAGCAACGCCAGGCGCTGAGCAATCTGCAGCGATCGTTCACGCTCCAGAGGGAACTGGTTTGCAGTAATGTGACGCTGAGGAAAAGCTGAGCACACTATATGGTAGCTGGTGCTCATCAAGACCACCATACCAGCTTTCCAACGGACGATATTTATGCCTCCGCCATAACACTGCCACTAAAAACAACATATTGCATGGACGGTTTGTTTGAAAAAACATTTTCACACATTTCTGTCTCTGCCTGCAGAGTATGCATGGTACACTACATGTCAGAATTTCACCCTGGCAGGCCACGTGAATCACACATGAGTGTTATTTTCTTTCCACGTTGCGCTGTGGCTCGTCAGTTTATTGATGTTCAGCACTTATTGACTGCTTCGCGCTCACTTCTCGTATCTCCTGGCCCGCGCCATTATAGGACTGCAGCTCGGCTAGGATCCCATGAGCCTCCTCCAGCACAGCGCTGACCTGGTTCCACACGGCTGTCTCTGCCTCCGTGGGCTGGGCATCTGGGAAGGGAGAAAGGAAGGAAAGTACAGAGGGAGGGAAAGAGGAAGAGATGGGGGGGGTAGAGAGAGAGGGTGAGGGAAGTGAAAGTGTGATGTAAGGTATGGGTAGAGATGAAAATAGAGAAGAGGGGAGGAAAGATGGATGACAGAGAGGGACGAAAATGTGAGGAAGAAGGAGAGAAGGTGGTTAATGATGAAGGAAGGAGCTGAAAAGATGATACGCTAGAGGGCCAGATAAAAACCTGATCACTCACTACATGGCTGCAGCAAAAACAACATGTCCCTACAAGTGGAAATTACTGCATTTCATCGTGTTAGTGGACACTGCAGCCGTACTCATCTAAGGTCAAAATCTGGCCAGTAAATGAATGATCCAATTTATCCATTAGAGAATTATACCAAGAGACCTGCGAGCTACACTCTGTCACACAGCGGGGTTTGATTGCAGTGTGTGGTCACTCCATAAGGACCAGTCAGTTTCACTTCGGGTAATCGTTTGGATGAGGATGTTACAACTAACTAGTTTAACATTTTGATGGTTTTCAGGCGGTGTAAAAGTGCCTGGATTGCAACACTCGGACAATGTGTCTGACTCCTGAACTGTAATCGTCTCCCCTGTCCGTTCGGCAGATACAAGCCCAGATAGGTGTAATTGTCCCTTCAGATTGATGTAATAGTCTCATCCATCTTTTTCTCACTTTCTATTTCCCCCTCCACTTCTATGAATTTTTTTGTGCCCTTGAGGTTTAATTGTGAGAAATGTTAAAACAAACAAGCAGCATGGAGGACAACCTCTGGGCATGCTCACTCTTTCACTTTCTCTGTTTCACACATAGCAGCACACGCACTGTAAACTCAGTGTTTTTGCCGCAGGGCACCTCCCAGTCACAGTTCTGCGTCATTTGCCCGTGTGGCGTGCTGCATGCATACAGGAGGGATTAAGTGTTTGAGGGACACAATTTAGTTTGTGCTGTCTTGAGTCATCATTGTGTGTGGGGGGGGGGGTTTCTCCCTCTCTCTCTCCAAGCAATCTGGCTCGATGTGTGACTCAGGTATAAAGTGGAAGTGGGAGTGTGGCCGTGCAGTTCTCTACATGAGGTAGCGCCGCTGATTATTTTTGCACCCTGAGGCATTGCCTTCCTGCAGAGAAATAGTTAATCATGGAATATTTGCTATTCTACAAGCACACTGCCATAATAAGCACAGCGAGCGTTGCTATTTTAGTGTTGACTTCTCACTAATGTGGTCCTGCATTCTTGTGGTAAACAACTACTTGGTAAACAGCTACATATTTTGTTTACTAGATAGTCAATAAATGAGTATAACATACAGTATGCTGCGAGTATTAAAGGAATAGGTCGGATTATTGTCAAGTGAGGTCAGAAAATTGATAACACTGTTACATCTGAATGCTAATTATGAACGTGGAGCTAGGAGACGGCTAGCTTGGCGTAGCATAAAGACTGGAGGCAGAGGGAAGCAGCTAGTCTGGCCCAGGTTTTTCTTTTTTCACTTACGGTGCCTGAAAGGTTTTAGAGGGGTGTAAATGATAAATTATTTCTTGGACGAGCACAGTGACTCCCTGGAGTTTCTGCTGGATGCCTCACATCCTCACAGACATGACTAGACTCCAGGAAGTTACTGTGCCCCGCCAAGAAGTAGTTCTAGCTTTTATGCTAAAGTAAACTAAACGTTTCCTGTCAGTTACTTTGCAGGAAAAAATTAAAATAAAACTAAATCACTTGATGTTGGACAGAAACATTAAATTAATTTTTTTTTTTGTAATTTTGCTTCTGATCTCTCAGGAGGTTTTAACGTAGTAGAGTGATCAGAACATCCAGCCATAAATAGCTTCATGGGACGTCAGTACAGAGTTTAAACCAAACTTTGAGCTGTGTGACAGAGGTGACTGTGTCTCTGGGTTGAGAAGGAGAGCTCACAGATGGCATTTGTGTGTGTGTGTGTGTGTGTGTGTGTGTGTGTGTGTGTGTGTGTGTGTGTGTGTGTGTGTGTGTGTGTGTGTGTGTGTGTGTGTGGTGGTTGGGGGGGGGGTCTGAGTCACTTGTGTTTGAACTCAAGTGAATCACAGGCCTAATAAATGAAGGGGAAATTCAACCTATCTGACAGCTGATGTGTGTTGCCAGCAGTGAGCTCTCCCACTGTAACATTCAGTCAGTAAAGGAGGAGGAGGAGGAAGCCAGCTGTTAAAGAGGGAGAGCGCTCGAGGAAGGGCAGAATCTGTTGGGATACACTGCAAAATATCTTCTTCTTAACAGTTCATTTAGTCGTCTCATACTCACTTGCAAAATCTTCAGTAGGATTTTTTTGTTGTTGAAAGATTAGTTAAAGAAAACATTGCTCACAGCTAGTACAGGTAGCAATATATAACCATGCAAGCAGCATGGCTGTGCTTAGTGCTAATTAGCTAAGCACGCTAACAAATTGAACTAAGATGGGGAACATGTGAAACATTATATATGTCGTTTGGAGCATGTTAGCATGCTGATGTTAGCATTTAGCTCATTTAGCTGTGCCAAAGTAGAGCCTCATAAAGCTGCTAGCGTAGCTCCTGTTTACCATTTTGGAAAATGACTTGTTAAGATGGACATTTTCACACTGCAAAGTTTACAGTTCACTGACTGGGAGAATGAGAAGAGGAGGGATAGAGGTGGTTTTATTCACCAACCTCTTTCACAATCTTTCTCTCTTCCTATCACTTTCTCCTCATCAGTTTCACTCTCTTACACACACATTATTTAGTACTACACACACACACACTCACTCACAGATAGGTCAGGCACACAATAGGTCACACAATAGAGGATGAGGAGGTGGTGGGATGACGATAGACTTTTTGTTAGCCATCATCATCCCTGAGCAACAGTAACCCACACAGAACTGGCATTCGTTGTTTATTTTTCCACAGTTTTTGTAGCTTAGGAGACGAGATCAAAGCATTATTGTTGTCATTTTGCCACAGCGTCACCATGCCATTGTGCATCTGTCTGCATTTAATAAGATGTGGCGTGTGTGAATAAGACCCTTTAGAAAGAAGCCAAATGACTTTCAAATGCCAGTCCCTGCAGCAGAAATCAAAAGATAAAGAAAAGAGTGAGGAGAAGAGTTGAGGAGGGGGAAAAAAGGGGTAAATAAGGACGTAAAGATGACACAATGGTCGGCTAAGATTGATGGAATGGGGGGGGGGGGCAAAGGCAACATAGAGAAAGGGATAACTCAAAAAAATAAGAAGCGGATGGTCTCACGTTCAAAGTCAAGGAAAACTATTGGGCCATGCTCAAGTTCGGCGCAAGCCAGCACTTTCAGGAGGTTTCCCATGAGCCCCCTGGAACAGAGAGAGGGGAGAAGTCTGTGGGTGATGAGGGGATGGGTGTCGGGGTTGTGCGCACGTGGGTGTATGTGTATGAGTGAGCATGTGAGCTGAATGTGTGTGTGTGTGTGTGCGTGTGGTGTTGGAGAGTTGAAGGTGTCAGGGTGGGGACTGGATGAGAGGGGGTTGCTGGAATGGCATGATGGAAGTATGTCCTGGGTGAAGCATGGCGACATGGACACAGGGCTTCTTTAATCCCACTCTTATGATACTGTTTATGTATTACTTAAAACAGAAAAGGTCCTCGATTTAGTTGCATTAAAGAGAAGAGTCCTCAAGTTTAAAGGTCAAATGTTACAGAGAATGTGCTTGGAAATAAAGAGGACAGAAAATCTAATTAAACTCTATAATCTATATCTATAAAAACAAACAAAAAAATTATAAATATGACAATTTACTCCTAATTTTCTGACAAGAGATGACAAGATCTTTAAATTATGGGACTATACTTTAGTTATGGTTTCAGAAGGAACTGAGTAAAGTCTCTAAAGAAACAAACAAACAAAAACAAAATGAACTGGAAAAAAAACAATTAAAAAACAAAAAAATACTAACTATATGGGATTAATCTGCATATGCTTCAGTAGTAATTGAGCCAAATCTTCAGAGAATCAAATGTAGAAAAACTAAATTGAGAGAGAATAAAAATAATTTAAAAATGACCTTAATTTCAGCGTCCCCATTTGTGGGCAGGTGTCAGCAGAGTAATGAAAGCTTACTGTCTGAAATTTAACTGAAAAATGGAGCCGTGAAATTTAAAACAAGTAAAAGTACAGAAAAGTAGAAGATAATAAAATAATAGGAAGAAAATAATAGTTATAACACTAATAACCAAATGGAGCTCTCTTGTATATTATGGTATTTTTTTGGTTTCAATTAATTGTCGTTCATTCCCAGTTTAATTTTTTGTTTAATTTTGTTTAATCGTACTTAAACAAATATAATCCCATAAAATAATCTCAGTTGTATCTTTCTTGTTAATGAAACGTTATTTGAGGACAGTGTTGTTTCAGAGGTAACTGCTAAATTGACTCTTCTCTGAAAATATAACTGGTTACCGACACTGTAAATAGGCAATAGTATTTAAATCATATCATCTATCATCGGACAAAATATCTTTTAGCACGAGAAAACATTGAGAGTGGGACTAGAGAGCGACTGATAATGACAAACTACACCCACAACAGCACCATCATCAGCTCACATCCAAATATACCTCCCCTGGCCCCACCCAGCGACCTCCCAATGAACACCTCTGCTCCACACACACGTGCGCTCACATTTCAAGCACACAGACACGTGCACACAACCCGGTGCTCACTTACTTTCGAAGTCCAGGAAAAAATGTGGACAGTTCTCTAAATCCTTGCCAAGGACCTTAATGAGGTTCCCCATGGCTGGCGACCTGGACGGGAGGAAACAACAAAATGCATACAGTACGCAGAACCTGGCAACCCGCATGAAAATACACAACATGCACATGGAGAACACAGCAGGTTGTGACTGTTTTAGTTTTTTACCCATCTGCACTTGTCTAATTATCCCTTCTTCCTCTCCTCCTCCATCTGTCTGTCTAAGCAATATGTCCAGAGCAAAGTCAGACGTTCCAGTCATAAATGACACTGATCACAGTTTGCATCCAATACACAGCGTATGTTGTATTCAATTAGAGGGGGGGCCTAAATCCAGTAGTGAATCATTTAGCTCACTCATTGGGAGTCACTAGACCTGAGCAGTGGTTTTAATCCATTTACATGACTATAGTAACCTAATAAAAGCCTGCTATGTACAGGCTACTCTCTCCTAATGCTCTTCATGCACAGCAGTCTATAGATACTTTATGACAAGCTCTTTATACTTCATACCCGAAGGGCAGATGCCAGCACTTCATGGAACCAGTGATCCAAGCTTCATTAGATTATCCTGCAGGTCAGACGGGCAGGATACACAGGCCTGCATGCTCACATGTTCATATACAGCACCAGACCAAACAACATACAGTGTGTCAGGAGTTTCAGAGTGTAAAACCAGTTCAGCTGTTCCTGGTTTCAACCTCTTTAATCCCAGTCAGGCCAGGCAGAACTAACACAGGCTGTGGAGCCAAATATTGTTCAAACTAAGGGTGGGAAATAGTCTGGAGTCTTGAGTTTGAATATTTCACTCAGTGTAAATATTATACAGCTTCAACAAGGAGCCGGAACAAGCTGATATGGAATTTGATATTGTATGGACTAAGATGATCTTAAGAACCTTTAACAAAGCCACTTGTACGTTTTCTCTGTCGTCAAACACGGTTTCTTGTTGGGAGCCGGTGGTTGTGATTGTCGCTTAACAAGAGCTTGGGCCATCGTTGTGTTCACAAGACAAGAGGTTATAATACGCCCTCTGAGCAGCGTTAGGTCTTTAAAACAGACTGGAGTGGACTACAGTGAGTCACTATCAGAAAGTGACGAGACGGGCCGGGGCTAGCTGGTTAGCGTGCTAACTTCAGTAGAGGTAAAGGCGTGATAGAGGAATCTGAATATAGGTATTAAGTTTGATGCTGATCTTGCAACGTTTCTCCTAAACTGGAAAGTAAACAGCTGTTATTCCTAATGCTGGCTATGTAGCAATAGCAAAAAAGCTAATTTAAAGCTACTCTGCTTAAAGAGGAAATGTAAAGAAAATGGCTGTAAAGGTTTCAATGAGGGAGAGGATTGGGAAAGCTCTGTGTGTGTGTGTGTGTGTGTGTGTGTGTGGGTGTGTGTGTGTGTGTGTGTGTGTGTGTGTTGCATAAAGACACACAATAAACATAAAAACCAAGTGAAATCCAATATTCGAATATGACTCTCAGCTGTGCAAGTATGAAAGCCTCCCCCGTTAATCGTCCTCAATCGCCCACCCCCCCCCCCTTCTCAATCATAGAGGGGCTTGGGTAGCAGAAGGTAGACAGCTGCCAAGTTTCACTTCCTCTGCTGTACCCTCTGTGTTTATGTGCTATGTTAGCACGCATTGGAGACCTATCAGTTTCCGCCTGTGAAAGTGATTTATGGCCAGAATTAGCATGTTTACGAGATGGCATGTTCCTGCAAAAAAAAACAAAAAAACAAAACCAAAACAAAAACAAAATAAAAAAACCCTGGTCTTTTCACTGTTACTCAGCAAGAACGGGTGTTGCAATGCAGCACTGAGGTACATATAAGGAAGGGATGGAGTTACACCGTCCAGTCGCTGAGACAGCTCGCCGACATTCTCCAAAGTAGCAGTTTCTCTATGAGACAAGTACGGCATCTACTGTATTATATGTCTACTCCATCTATAAAATCTGTTGGGAGGCCGAGAAAGAGAGCTGTGTGCTGAGTCACTGCTCTAACCTATGAGCATCAGTCCAAAGGTGTAAAACACACCCCTGTCTCCTCCTGACTTTTAGACCACCTGCTCCAAGATACACACTGAACCGACTCTATGAATATATGAATAACAGATTCGTATCTTCAGCCTGACAAGGTGATTGCAAAGGCAAAGTCGAGCTGAGATTCATATCGGAGTCTCGCATGAAGCAATGAAAGCTGTCTGAAACACGAATAGGTGTGTGTTAGCCGTAGCCGCACAGCGACCACACACACACGCGCACACACACACACACACTAACACACTAACACACATTAATACACATACATCGAGTCTGGAGCAGCATGTGGTCCATCCAGAGAGCAGAGCTCGGCTGATGGTTGCCAGGATACTGTTGGCCTGGCAATATCGTCTGCTCGTCTCAGCAGAAGATGTGGGGAAAAAAAAGGCATCCAGCTTGCTCACACACTGGGAGCTGATGCATCAATCCTCACTACTCGAAACAAGATCCGTTTAGGAACACATAATGTAAACACAAAGAGGCAGTACACAGGACCTTAAAGCCCAGAAAGAAACCAGCCAGCAGCCTCTCACACCTCTCTCTTCTTACCCTCGGTTCCTATGAGCGCTTTGCCTCTTCCTTTATCCCCGTTCCTCTTCCTCCTTCTGCCCTCGTCCTCTCTGCTTTGTGAAATCGTTGCTGCGAGTAAATCCCAGGTTAGCCCGGCTCTGAGCGATATCTGGAGTCCCACGGTGGCACTGGTTGCCACTCCGCTTTTCTTAGAGACTGATGTTAACTTCTGCTCTCGCTCTTTCTCCCTCTGTCTCTCTCTCTCTCTCTCTCTGTAATCTCTGTCCACTTCACACTTCTCTTTTTCAGTCATCTATTTAAAAGCCTGTGGTTTTCTCTATTCGCTCTGTGTGCTAGATGCTGCTCTTTGTTTTTTTTTTCTTGTAGAAGAGTATACTCTGCTGGGTGAGGATGTTGGTAGAAAAACCACACGGTATATATTCAACGTTATTTACATTTTCTGTCCCTTTCCTCTGGCTGTACTGTGCTGATGTGTGTCTGTATCTCTTCAATTCATGCACAAATAGAGAAAACTCCTTCTCTCTTTTCGTCTCTGACGTCAGAATGGGTTCCTCAAAAATATCCCCTCCAGCTCTCCTCTCTGCCTCACTTCTCTATTTCACCACTCAGCAGCACTCTCCTGGCTCCTCTGGCCTTGTCTTGTCACAGCACATTTCTGTTATGGTGCCATTCATTCTCACTGGTGGCCCAACTCTAAGTGGCAGAATGGAAAGGCTGATCGGGCAAGAGCAAACACACGTTTGCTTTTAAACTTGTTGATTGGGTCCATGGTCTACATTGCATAAAAGCCACTGGGTAGATAACAGACGGTTTGGTCATTAGGACATGGCATTCTGTGAATTAGGAAGTGCGTTTGGTGGCCACCGGTTGCAGTTTCTGTTACACGCAAACACACACAACGCTTGTAGTCAGCCAGCGTGAAAGTGGAGCAAAGTGTTTCTCTTATGCAACTGCACAGCACACAGCTCTCATCTGTAGTCTGGCAAGAGAAACCGAACCGAAGGGCTCCTCAAGTCTTAATAAAGACACGGCTCGGCTCCCACATGGCGGCTGAAAAGCAAACCTGGTCCAGACTGGAAGCCAAGCAGCAGAGCAAGGCCTCCGGGACTCCTTTCAGCTCTTGCTGAAAGATTCCTCCTGTTGCAGCCCAGGAGCTTCATCAGCGTGGACTTAGTGAGCATCGAAAGAGCACTGCGCGTCTTTGCCTATAGTTTTCCCTCTGCCACTAACCACAGTGATCTCCCTTTCTATCGCACACTGGCTGACTGGATATTCACTGTGAATCAAACCCATTCAGCAGCCGTACTGTATACATGGTGTGCAGCGGCTGCACTCTCCCAGCTCTCATCTTTCCTTGCTCCTAAATTGTCCATCCATCTTTCCTCTTCCCAACTCGCCCCAAACGGTGTTTCTCTGCCGTGTCCTTTATTTTTCAGCTGTTCTGTTTTTTTCAGTTCAATTTTTTTCTTTTCTTTTTTTTTCCCACTCCTCATCTTTCATTCCTACCTTCGCTTGTGTTTATCCCTCTGGAACACTTCACTGCATCAACCAGGGCTTGTCAGCTCCACACAGTGGTTACAGCATCAGCACCCACCACCTGACAAAGAGACAGACAGATAGACAGAGAGAAAGCGAAATTAACATAAAATTCAACTTCCTGTACAGTGTAGAGAAAAGTGTTGATGTTGATTCTAAGATGCACAGAGTCAGCAAGGGCAAGGAAAATCATGCATGGACAAAGAAAGGTCCACAAAGGGCAAATAAACATAAGAGCTAAAGATAGTACAAATAATTATGCTAATGTATTTGCCTTGATTAGCCTTTTAGGTGAGGATACGATTTTACTCAGCTAGACTTGCAGTGAAACTTAATCCACCCAGATTTAACCGGATATAAAAATGTTATCAGTCTGAGCTTAAAAAAGTAATAACAATAATTAGATTCTTCATCCAACTGCGGACAACAGAGAAAAACTGAGACTTTCACTGAAAACAGCCGCCTGCAGCCGCATGACACTATGAGAGCAATGAGCGTTGATCAGAATAATAAAGTTTTAGGCATGAAAACCACCACAGAGAGCTGAAAGCAGCTAAAAAGATCCGTAGAGCGAAGGGAAACTGTAGATTGGGTTATAATTCTCTGCGGGTTTGTTACTTAAAGTGACCCCTTTCATTTTATATGTAATCATTTGATACATTGCTATGATAAATAATATTGATTATAGCTGCTTTAAGTGTCACATGATGGTCTAGATGCTTTTTTCTGCTCTAAGAGGAGTATCATTTTTGGAAATGCTCATAACTATGCATGAAAATTGGTGGTTTAAGATCGAGTGATAACATTCGGCCTCTAAAGTATGTGCACAGTAGTTAACAGCACTAATGGATCATGGTCTGAAACAAATATAGCAAATAGCTTCAATCTAAAATGGTAATTATTACATCTCCGAAAGCTATAGCAACTCCCACTTTAACATTTCAATAATGGACAAAGCTCGTTAAGCTTAACTCATTTATTTTTCGTCCCTAACAACTCCAGCATTGTCTTACCCGCCGCCTGGTGTAACTATTAACACTACTGCTGCTGCCCTTGCATCATCGAATCTCATCAGGAGAGAGTGTAGACAGGAGAGAGGCGGGGGCCTTTGAAGAATAGTTGCCAGGGAAACACAGCCTCTTATTCTCATGGCAACGCATAGTCGGGTTACTGTTCAGTGTTATCAATCACGTGTGGATTGGATGGATGGATGAACTATACTTCCCTTAATCTCTTGAGTGTGTGGGACACCAAAGCATTGACTTACCTACCTGTGGGGGTTGTAAACTACATCATCCACTCCTGGAATTACATGTCTTCTACCTTACATAGGGACGTTTGTTTTGACTACACGTTCCATTCAAGTAAATTGCCTAATGCTTATTGACTTCTCCTCTCCAGGAGAGGGCAAAGGTCAAACATTTCAACGGACATGTGAGGTCAAGAGAGAGAGACTTGAACTAAGACTTGGGAGGTTAATACTCGTGGACTGAGTTATGGTTAACTTCATCTTTTAAGTGAGATTGTTCTTTCTACCCGAGTCTGACCTCATTCGTTAGTCGTCTGCCCTTTGATCTTTTGAACTAACATGAATTCTCCGTCGACAATAAGAGTCTGTCATAAACTCACTTCTCACTTCATGTACATTTTCTCCTGTGTCAATGAAAAACCAGCTCTTTGCAGCTGTTGTCATAAGTATTAATGGTTTTACCACATCAAATTGACGGCAGACATCTAATTTTACTCCAGCTTCAGGGCCCTGACTGCACATTTTGATGGATTACTATTTTCAATTCTGCAAATCAGTTTAGTGCTTTAGTTTGCCATTTGAGCTCCACGCCACCTGTTTGCTTTCTCAGCAGTGCTTAGTCTGATCCATGCAAAAACTTCCGTTTCTGTCTCAGTATTTTCTGTACACACACACACACGCAACATCTGGGTTTTGAGGTGCAACTGCATACACATGGATCAGATTTAGTTAATCCTAGTACACAGTTTCGATATATTAGAATACAGTCCAATCTAGGGCTTTTCATTATCGATTAATTACTTATTTTCCCAATTCCTCATTTCGACTCTAAAATGTCAGAGGAAAAAGTGCTTGTCATAATTTCATGAAGTCCATTTTGATTGTTTTGTCCCACTAACAGTGCAATGTAAAGATATTCAGTTTTATGATCAAATGACACAGAAAAGCTTAAATTCTAATGGTTAAGAAGCTACAACCAGAAAGGTTTAAAACTGCAACAGAAATTAAACATGAAGTGCCTGATCAAGGAGGCGCTCCTGTGGATGAGGTGGTTCGATGTTGGGTATGAGAAGCAACATCCCCTGTTTTGAATCCAGCCAGGGACCTTAATTTGTTGCAGAGTATCTCTCCTTTCCCCTCTCCTGCTCATCCTTTCTACCGCAGGGCTCCAGAAGAGATTCATTGTTAAGTTTTGAAGGTTTATTCATAACCTTGGAACAACTGTTTGACAAAGAAATTCTCAACACGGTTCACATTATTCGTTGTTTACATCACTACGTGTCCAAACTTAGCAGCTAAACTTTTTCCATGACAATTAGCAAGTCTGCTGAGAATGGCCACATCATGTGACTGAAAAGCTTCTGGATTTCGATCATTTTCCTTTTGTCAAATATCTTCAGTGCAGCTTTGCAAAGTCCGCCCGCTTGATCATATGAATCAGTGCCACGCTAATCAAATAGTAGATTCTCTCCAGAGAGCAGACACTGGCAGAGAAGTCCAGTCAACTGAAGGGGACAGTCTTTAAGTGTACAGTAGCTGCGACTTCAGAGCCGATGGTGAGAGAGTCGGAGGCTCTTAGGGGCGAAAAGGAAGAAAGCCAGAGATCACAAAGTCACTGTGTGTAGACATCTGTCTTTTGTGTTGGGAGTCTGAGGTACTGAGCTCATGTTAGTTCTGCTCACTGAACAGGTCTCTTCTCTTTAAAAAAAAAAAAAAAAAAAACCCACTGGTGATTCTTCTTCTTCTCGCTCCCTCTCCATCTCTTTCACTCTTTCTCAACCTTTCACCCGCTCTCCCGACACACCCCTCACTCCACCCCCTGTTCACTCCAAAGCTCTTCTTTTATGCAACCGTTCATTCATTCATCTTCTCACCGCACAACCTTTTGACCTCTTCCTCTGTTACTGTGTCTTTTATATGCTACCTCTACCCTTTCCTTCTTTTGTTCTCAGCACTTTCTCCCTAAAGATAGAGATGAGTGCAAGAAGCTGTGCTGTAACACCAGCTCACATGTGTGTTTTAAGAGAAAAGGGAGGGGAAAACAGGATGGGTGTAAACACTCACCTAAACTCAGTTAATCTTCCTCTTAGTTAGAAAAAAAAAGACTTTTTCTTTTGGCTGTCATTTGTTAAATTATATAAATTGCTGTAAGTAATATTATGCTGTTACTGGTGGTGGGATAGAAGGAAAATGGGTCATGATCACATACAGGAGCAGTTTTTTAGTAGGAGAGGAGAGGGGAGGAGAAAAGTAAGGGAAAGGAGATGAGGGAAGGGTAGGCGAGAAATTAGAAGGAAAACAAGGAGATGAAAGGAAGGAAAGGAAAGGAAAGGGAAGGCAAGGAAAGGAAAGATGTGCACTAACAAAGAGCCAGTTTAAGGAGTAAAATGGGAGGTGGCAGTGTCAGACCCAGCTAGACCATCGCTAAAGATTGACCGCCGATGGAACGCTACAGCCAATTTGCCTCAGGCCCACACACACACACACACACACACACACACACACACACACACACATTCATACACAATTATAGATACCGCCGTCCCTCGGTGAGGTGAGGAGGGAAGGAGAATAAAAGGGGAGAGCGGCTGAGCGTGAGAGCGAAGGATGGAGTGGCAGAGAGCAAAAGAGAGAGAGAGAGAGAGAGAGAGAGAGACAAATGGAAGGAGGAGGTTACGATT